ACACAGGTCCATGTATGATGTATGTACATAGGTTACTTAGTATAAAGAGAGAGAGAAGAGAGATTTTAATTTTCTCTGACTTCTTTTAGATGATTCATAATGAAAGTTCCCCATTTACTGCTGAGGATAAGTGGGATTGGATCTAAAAACTGAAAGTTCCCCAGAAACTAAAGCTTTTTTATGGAGTGTTAAACATGATAAAATCTCATCCAATTACCTCAGAACTGTCAGACACTTGACCAATAACTCCTATCTCCCTTGCTGTTTCTTTCTCTCCGCTGCTCATCCACAAGCATCATGCCACACAAGTACACACTACTTATATCTGTCTCTGTCTCTCTCTCTCTTTGCTTCTATATCGAAGGTCTTCAACACAACGCCTGGAAGGTGTGCGACCAAATGCAAAGAGGTAACCAAATGCCCCCAACTTCTGTGCACCACAACTCTCTGCGCACACAAACACACTCCTATCCGCAACCATAACTTTCAAGGCACTTTATAATGCTATTTTTTCTCAGGCTCTTTATAATGCTATTGGACTTAATTTAGAATTTTTCTCTTTGGTCTTCAGGGTTTGGATTGCACTCAATATGACTACATTTTGTTGTGTTCTTTTCAGTAGGTTAAGTGCAATAACAGGTAATTGGTTTTTGTTGTAGAGAGAAAAATTTAGGCATCCATTTGGAAATGTGCTTTGGTGTATGAGCAATGGGCTATCTTATATAGTTTATAAGTCAATGCAGGTGTAGTGGTCAGATGGGGAATAATTTGCAGTTTTGATGGAAACTAAAAGTAGCCTGTATTTTCTCTCCTCTTTTTTTTTTCTTTATTATATAGTGGTTAGTCTTTTTATTTATATTATGTTTCAAAATCAATTTGATTGTGTGTTTGGAAAGAGTGCATTTTTGGACAATTTGTCCTCACTGTTGCTATTTGTATGAGTATGAGAAGGTTTATGAGGGGTGTTGTTTGATGTGTCAGAATGACCAATGCTGCAAAGGGTTTCATGCTATGGCGCTTCCGTCGCCACCACCAATGGGGGTGGCGGAGATTGGTCAATATGCGTGTTTTGGGTCAATATTAGGATTTGAAGGGATAAATGAAAAGGGTTGTTGTCGTGGATGCCTTTTTCTCCTTTTGTTGCTCAAGTGGAAATAAAGGAAGAGAAGAAGAATGATATCCATGAGGATGATAATGTGTGGGAAAGAGATAGTTTTATAGAAAATTTTGATGATAGTGACGATTTTTATGATGAAAATGGAAGTAAAAATGAGGTGACACTAGAGAATTTCAATGCTAAGAAAGTGAAAATAGAGGAAAAAAATGAAGAAGGGGAGTGGGAACAATAATGGGTTGGAGAGAAGTGTTGAATCAAATGTTCATAACACCGGGAAGATGGCAATGAAGAGCAAAAGTCAGTGGCAGAGAGAAAGAAGTTGTTGATGGGTAACGAGACCGAAAATTATATAAATGAGGGTTATCCTCATCGTGGTGAAGAATTGGGCTTGAAGGTGGAAGCCAGTGAAGATAATGAGCATTTTGATTCTTGGTTTGGTGCAGGATTGGGAATAGGAAATGGTGGAAATGACTTTGTCACGGGTTAAGTGGAGTTTTTTGAGGGAGCTGATGGTATCTATGTGGGTCTGCAGGAGATTTCTAATGCTTCTTAGGTTTGAACATGGGGTTTATCCTTTTATTCATATGGCTATATAGGTAATAGGATTGGATGCTATAGTAGTAACTCTTGACGATTTAATAGTAATGCAAACATTAGGGCACATCAATTGAAATGCACCTTTACCTTGCTTTTGGCTATTGTGAATGTTTTTTTATATTATATTGTAGAAATAGATATGCCACAAGTCCACAGCTCAAATTGATTTTCTGCTTAGTCATAGGGGTTGGAATATGTTACTTTTCGTTACCATGTCTTCCTTTTGTGTTCAACCACAATGTGACACCTGGGAATTCTTATTATTTTATCTTTGTTTAGTCTTCTTCTGATCAATGGCTCTGAATAACTTAAACAAAGATCCACGCATAAAGTTGTTTTTTGATATGGTACCAGAAAGTAAACTTTTGGTCAAAGTTTAGTCCTTTAATCATAAGTTGATATAGTGAATATGGGCAACCTCCTCGCAAAATGCGAATCTCTTATGCTTGATGGCAGAATAGTTAAGGGGTAAGGGGTATGCACGTATACGACCTTTCTTGACTTAAAGTTATAATAAATCAAAAAGTGGTATGTGTATGTGTGTTTGTGTGTGTGAATCGCTAATGGAAGTTTGCCAATTTGTTAATTTTTTAGATGAGAGGTTCTTTGACATTATTGGGCAATCGGTGCTAAATGACGTCAAAAGTTCTGAAGCAAAACTTGGTGGTACTACATCTTTGAGGTGAACTGTTAGAATGTATAGTCATGGAACTATACATTCATGGGGCATGCTCCCTTTTTCGTTGAAACTGTTAGAATTCAATTTAGTGTGGATTAATTATGATTTTTTTTGAGGTATGGTCCTAACAAGTTCAATAGTGTAATTTTTTTTATATAATATGAAATTTAATTATCGTAGCAAACTTACTTTTTTTGAAATTCTAGCTTAGTTTAGATTATCATTTTCTTTTCTTTTAAAGGTTTTAAGACTTTTGTCATTTAATATCTAAAGGTCAATGATACCAAATATATTAGTTTGTAATTTCTTAGTTTATTTAAATTTTACTTTGTAGGGTCCATATTCAATTGCGATTGTTGAAATTTTTGTAATACATTTTTTTCGAACATGAATACATGTTTTCAATTTTTTTATAAGTTATATAGTGTCTTCAGGCATGGACAATTACTAGTCGATCTATATAATGCAACTAACTTGTTTTTGTCTGATGACTAATCTTACAAACTTCTACTTTAAACTTTGAACTACTGTAAATATACTTATTTATATTTTAAATTTTCAACTAAAATAATTTTTTTTTTTATACTTTAGCCGCTCACTTACGATTTAATTATAGTAAACAAAAGAGTACACATTTGTTGTTCATTACACGGGCAACTCCAATCCTTTAATATAATTCATGTGTAATTCAAATCCAGGTGACGGAACTACTTGGAGACATGGGGGGGGGGGGGGGGGGGGCATGGCCGTCTCTCGTATTTTTTAAAATATCTTATATTCCCTCAAGGTTTTACAAATTATACATCTTATCTTAGGTTTTCAAAAATTTTATACATCATAAATTGTGTTACAGACATGACTTATATCACTTTCAATGCAGTAACCAATAACACACTCTCACAATGATGACGAGAAAATAATATTTGTGATGGTAATTTATTCGTAGTGATTATTTGATGTCATAAATGATAAAACAAGTAGACCATAATATTATTTCAAATTAATTTATAAATTTTATGATTCAAACTAATATTAACGATTATATCATAAAAACATTATTTTTCGGAGATTTGTTGCGAGTAAATATCCAGCATTAACAATAACGCATTAAATAATCCTATTAAATAAATCTTTTATCATGTCCTTTTTTTTGTTTGACTTCCACATAATATAATCCCGATTCTATCCATATCCACGTCTATATACTCCTCATGTCAAGCTGGACCTATTTTTTTTTCAATAAGTAAAATAAATATGTAGATATGTCATTCCATATATTTGTCAGAGAATATTGTCTTTTAACACTACAAAGTTATTTGCAAGGAATTCCACCGCACTTAAGTTGGGGCCAAAACTAAGTTCCACAACGTACTTTAGATACTAAAGAATAAATTTAGTCTCAACGAACTACTATAATTATAGAGACTCGAACTCAAATATTGAACAAAAAAATTCATATTCTCACCCATCGGACGAATAACTTGTTCACCCCCAACCTATTTTTACCATCTGGTTTTTAGTGAAAAAAAAATTAGTAGACAAAATTAGCCAGACATACCATCAAATGTCAGCAAAGGACTGGATTTTCCAGAAATTGTGTCTTTTCACATTCACAAATTTGGATTATTTAAAATCTCATCAAATGTGGTACCACATTCATCATCCATCCTCATTAATTCTTCCACAATGTTTGAACTGGCCCCACACAGGAATTTGTCCCAGGGCAGCATGCCATTGGGTGGTCCCACCAGCTAAGTGACACCCAACCCCCTCCTCCATGGGAAGTTTCAAAAGGATTTTAGATGTGTGATTTAACTGATATGACCCCACAATGAGAAGAAATGTGAAGAAAAAGTCCCACCAACCAAACCAAAAGGGGGAAACAACAGTTGGGAACCATATCAGAGAAATGCAAAAAGTAAAAGCTGAATTTGAATTGTGTCCCTTAAGCATGTCCTATGTGCCCAACTCTCCAATTCCGCCTTATATGAAACAAGCATGTATCATAACCACTGCCATTATTTAGTCCCCCACATATATCCATCCTCAGGTAAAATCTTAAATCAAAACTGACCCATTTCTTTTCTTTCTTTTCCTTTCTTTTTATTAATTTTTGGTGGAAAAGTGACCCATATCCATATCCCAAGGAACAATCATTTTTCCCTTCTCTCTTGCTTTGGGTTGACTGACTGAATGCTTCTAAATTCCTCTCCATCTTTATTTCTTTTTGGCGAAATTATACTTTGACCCCTTAACTTATCTATGGTCTCACTTCTCCGGTAAAACTAATATGTTTCTCATATTGTACCTCTAACTATAATTATCGTTTTCACATTACCCAATTACACACATTAGAAACATATATTGTACTACATGCAAGACCAATTTCCTTAAAAAAATTCTAGCGGAAAGTTAGTTTTGGGGGCAATTTGAAACGAATTTAATTACTTATTGAGAACAATACAAGAGATGAGGCAAAGTGAGATAGAGGAAGATTGAGGGGGTCAAAGTATACCTTACCCTTTTCTTTTTTCCTTTACCAACTCCTACAGGCTACAGTCCTACTTAAATACCACCATGTTCTTTCATTCATGACAATTTGGAACTGAAAAACAGAACCACCCATAAGAAAATGGGTGACCTTCACTCCATTGCTTACAGCAGCAGCCTCCACAGCTCTTCCCTAGGTTGGGACTTCCACAACCTTGGAGTTTTCAACGCAGACATGTCTCATTGTAAAACTTTCTTCTCTTTTTCTCATTCTGCCTTATCTTTTTTTTCTGCACTGTTTTTGTTTCTTTCTTTTCATACAAAGATTTACTCATACTCTTTTGCTTATACTTAAGAATTTGTCACTGGGATTTCCTGTAGTTATGGAGAACACGCCACCATTTTTCTCACCACTTGATTCTGATCTCTCCACGGGCTATCTGCAAGATGCTTTGTTTGAATTCAGTTCTAAACGAAGGCGTTTGATGTGGTTCACTGATGACCAATTTGAAGAGAAAACTAAACCAATGAAGGTAATCTTGATCTCCTGTACACTTTGGAACTAACAAATTAATTGAGTTTAGCAGTTCGAATTTGTGAGGTTTGATCAAATATATATTATGCAGAGCTTCTGGAATTCAGACCAAACAGAGAATTCTTATGAGAATTTTGGTTATCTGGACCAGATAACCAATCTTGATGCCATTTCAGGTGATTACACTTTCTTTTCCACAACCTTCTATTCAAAATTCTAGGGATATTCAAGGTGAATTTGTGGAAATCACTTTAAATGAGTTAATAAGTTATTAAGAAAACTCTAGAGTTTTGTTTTTATAGCAGTTATCACTATAATCTACATTTTGGGTGATTTAAATATGAAGAGATTAACACTGTTATCATGTTCTTCATTTATTATGTACTTATCTATATTGTGATTGCAGGTGAACCCATAAGCAGGTCAGTAAGCAGAACCAGCGATGATTCAAATCCAATGGTTTTCACAGAAGAAGTAAAAACACCAGAAGACATATCAGCTTCCGACACTTTTGATTCTTCTTCTTCACCTCATAAAGATAACACCCAGTCAATTGCTGATAAAGATACCCTCTATCCCCTAGACCCCTTATTTCCTTCAGGTACTCTCTCTCTCTCTCTCTCAAATCTCAATATGTATATGCAGAATCAATTTCCAAACCATGGTCAGTTACTAGCTTTATTATTCTTTTACTGTTCTCAATTTACCATGATCTCTATAGAAGCGTGGTTAAACTCAAGCACTTCAATGTAAAAGTGTGGATTCACACACTCTTTTAATTGAGAAATAAGTCAGAAACAACCGTAAAAAGAAAATAAAGTCATAAAAACTCAAAATTTTGGTAAAACTTCAGTCCGTATTAGATGTTTGAGTGTATATATTGGTATACCACTTTGCAATACTTTGAAAACCATAACAATTATTATTGTTTCTTTTGGGATGTTTCAGGAGGACATTACAACAGAAAAAAGAGGGTGATGACAAGGGTGGTGTACCCATTTGCAGTGGTGAAGCCGGGAGGGATTGAAGGCGACGTAACGTTAAACGACATCAACGAGAGGATCCTAATGCGGCCGACTAGGCCGGTGAGGCACCCAGTCGGAGACTTTGCTAGCCGCCCTCTGGTATCTCCTGATGGGCCTGGCTTGTCTGGGAAGGCTGTGGTGGCACTTACAAGAATTCATACACAAGGGAGAGGCACAATCACAATTATAAGGACTAGAGGTTAACAAAGTTGTGTATACATACAAGGAAGAATGCTTGTTTAGTTGGATCCATGCTTGTTTAAATTGTACAGAGACGGAGAGTTTATGCTTGAATGTTGTTTTCTTCTACACATCATAGCAAATTTGTTACTATTATTGTCCAACCGTGAGCTTTTTAGTATGAGCTGAGATGGTATGCTGAGCAAAGAAATATACATACATGTTCATGTTAGGTCTGTCAGGTTCTACCACGACTGTCAGATATCTAATGCAACATTCCTCCTGAACTTAGATTGGTTATGCAAAAAAATGCACAGCACAGGTACTAAAAAATAATTTTTCAGTATGATATCAAAAATAATTTATTTATAGATATTGAATGTGAAAATAGCAATGTTCACAATCTCATTGAAAGAAGAAATAGGATGCATTATCTAAAAGTTAATTTTCTATACAATATCTTGTCCAACTTTTCTTTGGGTAGGACTTATGAGCTCAGATGATATCGACTATGACCCTATTGTTAGCTTTGTCCTTGTGGAGAGGCCTCTAGACTTGACCCCAGCCTCCAATAGAGTTGGCAATGTGCCTATAGGTAAGTTGACATTATTGGGAATGATTCAATAGAAAAAAGAATCCAAAAGGAGAAGATAATTCAAGGGAGTGAATCAAGATAAAAATCATTAAGAAATGGGTTTGTCCAAAATACATATTAAAAAAAAAAAAAAGATGTATATATAAGGCAAGGATGATGATCAAGGCATCAAATCAAGAGAATCAGTAGAATATAAGGTTTATGAAAAAGGAATTAAGAAGTTTAGGGAAAAAAAGGAAAAGGAAAAGGAAAAGGAAAAAGAAAAAACAAAAGTAAACTTAAAAAAGAAGAGTGTAAACATATCCAATGAGATCAGACTTATCTCTATCCATCAAATTCATTTTCTTTTTCAATCTTGCTCATGGTTAGGTTTTTTTTAGAGATCAGACTTATAATGTGTGTTCGTCTATCCAAATAGTGCGTTGCGGGTTTTCAAATTCAAAAAATAAATTCTCTAAAATAAATAAAGAAATATATCTTTCATTTACCTTTCACATAGTAGGTATAAAATCAACATGAAATAAATAAATAAATAAAGTCAAGCTCTACAAAGATAAGTACCAATAATGATATTAAAGTTGACTAATGCAACATGTATATCAACATTCGCGGTCTGTATTCGTTTTCAGATTGTAGGTTTCAATGCAGTTTTTCTCACCCGGGTGTCTTATATATGCTTTGAGAATAGGTCTCCCTAGTGTACGTATATATAAATAACTTTATATAATTTCACTATAAACAGTATAAGGTCTCAAGTGATGTTGATACGTCATTCTTGCTTTTGTGGAAAGAATAGGCAACTTGGGACCATCTTTTTTCCGCACTGACACAATGTGATCATGGGGTTAATGGAAGTTCTATGTAAAGTCCCTCTTCCTCATCTCAATGCATGACCAAAAGATGGATTAAGGTCCACTACACTAGTTATGTATTGATAGAAAACACCTTTAAATACAATGTGTTCCATTTAAATTTAAGAAAAGATAACTTAGCATTGAGAGAACGAAGTGATTCGAGTGTTGAACTCAATCTAGACTCCTGAAAAAACTATGCTACATTACACACTACCATTTGAGCAATAAAATCATTCCGAGGGACAAATAATCCAAACGGGTTCTTGGTTAAATAAATGTTTTTCTTATTTGTTTACACAGTAGTTTACACAGTAAATGATGAAATTCTAACTCTAGCATGGACTTCATGGTAAGAATGATAATCACAACTTTCCTTATAGATCAACACTCTAATTTCAATGAGAGAAATATTAGTAATACCACTTGTATGTAAAGGTAAGAACTTGCATATGTCTTTTGTAAATGATACAAATGATAGTAGCTAAGGAAATAAGAAAAATTAAGGAGCATACAATTCACTTTTTTTTTTCTTTTTTCAAAATTTTTTAGATGGGGCTTCATGATGCTATATCACATGCCTGCAAAAAGATATGCCAATGGAGGGGTCCAAATATTATTTTTGTACAATGGTAATCATTGAATAAAATAGCACTCATTCACAATTACACAAAGAGGACAACACCCTCAGTGCTTTAGAAAGATAAGATCATTGTCAATTTAAATTGGAAGAACATGATCCTAGAAAAAGCCACAATAGCCAGCTATTAAAATTGTGCAATACCCCAATCATTACCAAAATATATTGTTTTTCTATTTTGACCTACAAATCACTAACTACACTTACTTTCTTGTAGCCAAATTCCACAGGAGCTAGTATGTCATTTTCTTCATAGGTCAACATTGGTTGTTGGTCCATCAAATTCAACCTTCACCTATCTCCAAGGAGAATATAACATGTGGGGCCTAGAAAATTAGATATTTTTATTGAAAGAATCATAAAAAATCGTTTCAACTACATGTTTATTTGAAATCACAATATGACCCCAATTTTTAAGGCATGCAACTATTTTGCGGTACTAAGAAGTGCAGCATGTTGATAGGAATTGACAAAAACCTTCATGTACATGTCCTTGAGGGCAGTTTTCATGACAATCATCACTACTTTCTCCAGAAGGCATGACAGACACATACAAATTGAAATATTACATAACTTGAATTTGAGAGTTTGAAATAATAATTTGTGAAAATTTTCTATTCGATCTCCCATAGGAGTTAGGAATATTGTTTATACTTATGCTTTGAACTTTTCCTGATGAAAGTTGTGCCAGTACTGCTATATAGCAAACTCAAGGCCTGTGGTTGAGTACTTTGATGGGGTGAGTGGGATTGATGAAGAATTTTATAGATTAGGTTTTGTCTCTTTAAGACAAATGATTAGATTTTGTGGGTGAAGTTGTTTATGACCTTTTTGTGGCACGCACTTCTTTTTATCGCATTTAAGTAATATGTTAGGTTGCAGTAGTGGAAATTTGATTTTTGTCATTATGATTTGAAACATTTTTTTAATATCTAATTTATATAATAAAGAAAACACTAACATGATGAGCAGTATCTTTGATTTCTTTATAAAAACCAAGTGCAATACTTTTAATGGAAAAGTGGGAAGCTAAAGCTGCATTCTTCCGAGTTTCATTCATGTTCATAGAAGTTAGGTACTTCGTATGCTAACAAGTAAACAATTTTACTTTCGTGCTATGAGGATGTCTTGCGAGTTATTATTTCGAGTTTTTAAGTTCAAATTTCATCAAAGACATGATTATATAGTTAATCTGTTGTCAAGGCACCTCAATGCGTGCGATTCGGAAGTGTATTTATATACATTTCGAGTGTACATTATAGTCCGATTTCAAGAGACAAATATTATTGATGATGCACAAAAGTGGATTTACGCATTACTTGTCGAGTAATTAATATAGGTAATAAATGCAGAAAATATAATGATGAGGTTAATACAAGCAGCACACAGATGTACAGTAGTTCGGTCAAGATGACCTATTTCACTTTCGAAGGCGCCGACAGTGGCCGGAGAACTTTATTGATAAAGTAGATGGTGGAAAAGAGAGTAAGGGTAAACTCTAGGAAAGGTTGAATAGCTATGTAAGAGAGTTGTGTAAATGGTGCGTAGAGAGATGCCCCTCTCATGTGAAAAAGACTTACAATTTATAGGCACAAAGTCTTAGTTGAGGCGGTGGAATGAAGGGATAGGTGACTAATACTTAGGAGATGATAGCTAGATCTAAGGATATGTACAATTAAAGATAGTCTTAATCTTCGAACAATAGTTTTCACGGTAATTACTCCACACGTGTGCTAACTTCTTGGGTCTCTTGAATCTTGAATTGGCCGAATCCATGAGCTTGGTTAGACTTGCTTAGTAACTAATGTAGGCCTGACTCATTAATTGGGCTTGACCCAATTAGATCGGAGTTCATCAATTATAATAGTCCTAAAGTATATATATACAAATTTGATTTAATGTTAAGAAATTAAACAAGGTCCCAATATTTGAGAATTCACCGAAACTCTTATAGTCTGTTTGGTAGGGTGGATGCAAAAATAAAAGGATGAAAAATGAGAGTGATACATTTTCTATCCTTCAATGAAAGAATCTCCCCTTCCCTCCTTTATGTTTGGTAAGAGTGATGAAAAATAGGTAGAATTGATTTTTTATGTTTGATAAGATAGAAAAAATATTTTTTTTATATTTTTTTTGAAAAAAATAAATACATATATATTTACCATTATATTTATATATGAAATTAATATATACATAATATGTAATTGATAAATATGATATATAGACAAATAACATACATTTCAACATATTAATTAATTTTTTATCAATTTTTCCTCTCAATTTTAGAGGGATTGATTTTGATGAGATGGAAAGAAAGTTCATTCATCAACTTTTTTATCCTTTATATTTTCATTCATTACCAAATATGATGTTTTATTTATCTTTCCAACTTTTCATTCTTTTAACTTTCTATTCTTCCATTTTTCTATTGTACCAAACAAAGTATTAGGGTGATTGACTTGTTTTTTTACCAAATCATATGTGAAATCAACTTATTATAAAGTAGTTCATATTTAAACAAATTAAAAACAGTGAATAATGAGTAATGTTATAGCAACCTAATTTAGTGTAGTCATTAGCTTATTTGTGAATTTTAATGTTTATTAGAGTCCCCCTTTAATCCAATTAATGCATTAAGAAAAAGGTTCAAATGACATTTTTCACAAGTGAATATCAATATTTCTCTATAAACTTATACAAAATATCGAGAAAACCTCTAACCTCAACCATTTGGTTGAAATTTTAGAGGTTTTTGAAAAACATCTATGATATAAAACAAGATAGGTTTCAATAAGTATATCCGATAGTTTTAAACGGACTCATCCAATTGTCATCAATATACCCTCAAAATCATTCATATTAAATTTTTCCTCAAATTCATCACTTGTCACTTACATTGTACAGTACTTTCAGGCACGGGTTATCCTCTATTTTTATTGATTTGTGTTTTTTTTTTCCTTTTGCAAATATGATTTTGCAATTAAATGGAAAGAATAATCCAGCAATTTTATTATTTTTTATAAGGAATTTCTATACACTACTGATATTCAAATGTTAGACCACTTTTGGGTGTAGTTGGTGGTTTAATGCTTTTGAAATGTTTATTTCTATAAACATAAATA